GTGTGACACGAAAGGAGGCGGCCGCCAGCGGTCCCGTTTGACTTCAGCCGGGAGCAGGCGCGTCCGGCGACTTTGCACGTGTTTTCAAGTGACTCAGGTAGTGCCCCGAATGTTGGTCTGGGGGTTAAACTAAATGTCAGTGCCCTGGCTGGCGTGGCTCAGTGGTTAGAGTGCCGGCCTGCGCCCCGTGGGTTGCAGGTTTGATCCCTCGCCCTGGTCATGGCACCGCGAGGGAGGCGACCAGCCGATGAATCGATGTCTCGCTCACATCAGTGTTTCTCTCTCTCTCTGTCTCTCTCCACCACCCTCCTTCCACTCTCACTAAAAATCAATGGAAAAAATATCCCCAGGCTTGAGGATTGACAAAAAAATAAAAATAAAAAAATAAAGTGCTGGTGAGCAGGCGAATTGGCAAGTTCGGAAACCACCGATGAGGAGGCCTGACCGTGCTCCCGGCAACTGCCGCCGACGGCCCCCTGCCCACGCCGGCCCGCACTCGGCTCTGCGGGGCCAGGTCGGGTCATCAGAGGGGAAGACGACAGACGGCCCTGAGCAGAGGGGCCGGGGCCCTTGTGCAAAATTCAGCTCCGCCCGTAGGATTCAGGGGCCTGGACAAAAAAAAAATGTCTTCGAAGGTCAGCTCAGGAGCAGGCCACGTCCTGCTCCATCCCGGCGAAATCTAAGCCGCGGCCGCGAGCTCGTGTAAGCAGCCGGCTGACGCGAGCTTGCCCTGCAGAACTCTTGATCCTTGGGGCGTCGGTTTGCTCACCTTGTAAATGGGTATAAGTAACGCTGCAAACATGGGTGTCGGGACTCGCACAGCGCCTGCTGAGTGGTAGCCGCTGCTTGGGTTGCTATTATTATTACTCTCAGGCTGCTGTTATTACTATCATTATTGTTTATATTATTATTACCATTATCACCATCATCAGAATTTACCACCCGGCCAGGCTTCTGGCCTCTCCTCTGTTACAATCTTAGCTGGCAGGAGCAGGGCCAGGTTTGGGGGAGTGTGCAGCTCCTCCAATTTCAGAGGGTGTTTTTAAAATTAAAATAAAAATACAAAATTGCAAATTAAAAAATTAGATCCAGGGCCTTCCAAGGAGTTGTTTGGGTGAGGAACCTGCAATTTAAGCTCCATCACTGCCAAAGTAAACCCACCTGTTTGGATCTTGTACCAAACACACAAATGAAGTCCTTGGTTGTCTATTTCTTTCTTAATTAATCAATTAAGAGAATTAAACATGTCACTTCATTTCCTGCTCTGTGCCAAGCACAGCAGTGATTAAGACAAAGGCCCCGCTCTCATGGGAGAGGCTTCTGGGGGTGGGAGAGATGGGAAAGAAATACATGACCCCGTAAATAACACGGACAGTAAGGGGGAGAGATGGGAGGGGTGTGCCACTGGCACACAGCTCGGGGCAGATTCGGGGCTGAGATTTTCAGGATGAGAAAGAACAAGTCCTGTAGAGCTCTGCGGAAAGAACCTCCAGACAAAGGGAACAGGAAGGGAAGGGACAAGCATTGCGCTTTCGAGGAATAACGAGGCCAGTGGCCCGGAGTGAGGGACACGAGATGAACTCCAAGAGGTCGGTCGGCAGAGGTGATCAGGGAGACCCGGAAAGGAGTTTGGACTTGGTTTCAAGAGCCCGAGGAAGCCAGCGGGGGATTTTCAACAGGTCTTGAGACGACTTATGTTTCTGAAAGACTGTCTGGCTTCCGTGAGTAGAATGGATTATGGGGGAGAGGAGGCAAAGAGGAAAGGCAGTGAGGAGGCCCCTGCCTGCCTGCTGTCTTCTGGGGTCAACAGCTTGGAAGGCGGATCAGGTAGGGCTGGGACGCAGGAGTGGAGCAGTTCTAAGGGACCCCTCCAGCCCCCTCTGCCACATGGCCAGTTCATGAGGGTCAGTAGCTGGAACAGGCCCTCAGGTTCCTGCTTTGTTCTAGTGGAGCGAAGTAAAGAAAGAATATAAAGGGCTTGGCCAGGGGCCCTGTGGGAAGGGAGGCAATTTCAGGGAGCCGGCGTCAGCACTCCCTTCCTGGGCCAGGGCTTCCTGGGGAGGGTACCTGATTACACGCCTGTGGATGGGTTTTTGGCAGCAGGCAGGCCACTGTCAGAAGGGCTCTAGTCCCGCTCAGCCAGAGTTGGGCGGGAGGGAAGAGTTTGCCACAATGTGTTTTGCTTTCGTTTGGCACGGCGACCTTGAGAGGGGCCAAGGTTGTGGAATTAATTACAGCCAATTACCTTGCATATAATGCTCGGGTTCCAACCTGCTGAAAGCCTCTAGAAGTGGAGAAATTCACAGATGAGCAGTCAAGAAAAGGCTCCCCCCGCCCATCTCGCTGCCCAGCCTCCTAGGAGTTCACCCTTTAATAATCTCCTTTAAATAAGCACAGCCTCCCTAAAATTTTCCCCAAATAAGGATTACTGCAATTAACACAAGAAAAAAAAAAAAGTTTCAGAGCTGCTTATGTTTAAATATTCCTCTATGCACTTCCACGTATCTTCATGTATTAACAGATGACCAATGTCCTCCAAAATTGACCTAAATCAATTAATAGTAATAGTAAATCAATTAATAGTAATAAACATTATAATCTGCAAATGATGATAAATCTGTTGTCTTCCTTTCCATCACTTTATCCATTTTTTAAAATATTCATGTCTTATTGCTTTGGCCTATTTAGCTGATCTAGAACATTAGACGGTGCATTATAAAGGACTGGGCATCCTTGTCTTGCTCGTGATTTTTGTTGTTGTTGTTGTTAATCCTACCCGAGGATATTTTTTTTCCATTGATTTTCACAGAGAGTGGAAGGGAGGAGAGAAGGGGAAAGAGAGAAGAGAGAGAGCGAAACATCGATGTGAGAGAGACACACGGATTGGTTGCTCCCCACACACACCCTCACCTGGCTGGGAATTGAACCTGCAACCCAGGTACATGCCCTTGACTGGCAATCAAACCCTTGACCCTTTGGTGTGTGGGCTGAAGCCCTAACCACTGAGCCACGCCAGCCAGGGCTTATCATTTCATTTTTGCTTCATTTAAAGGCCTCATTTCCTCAAATCCTGTTGTAAAACCAAGAGAGGTGTTTTCTGCAATTCGCTTCTGTTTCCTGTAGCAACTTTTTCAAACGTCTGTGTTTCTTCTTGGGAGCAAAACTCCCCACCTTTCTTATTGCCGGATCATTTCATAAACCATCCGGGTTATCTTCTGGTGGCTTCCTTGGATGAGGAGACGTCTCCTGGAGCTCAGTGGCCGCTGGCTCTCTGGCCCCCCTCACAACGCACCCGCTTGCTGTTAGAAACCCAGGTTCGGGTCTGGAAGCCTGGGCCTTGGCCGTTAAGACCCGGCCTGGAAGCGAGTTCCCCGCGTCTGGCAGCTATTTCTTGGGAGGGGCTCTGCTGGCCGAGGAGGCAGCTTCCACTTCTGGTGCTGGGTTGCCTGACAATCCAAAGGGAAATTTATTCGTCGATAATTTGAAACAGTCTGAAGTCCTTCCAATGCCAGAGGGAGTGCAGCAAAAATCCACAGCCCCCGAGGGCGGCACTCCCACCGCTGATCCAGTCCCTGCTCTTCCTTTCCTTCCAACTCGACACCCCAGAAGTCAGTGACCACCACCCAGCCTCCGCCTCGGGCCAGGCTCCCTGCTGGGAAACTCGGAGCAGACTGGACAGGAAGGCGAGGTACTGACGCGGGGACGAGGTGTGAAGAGTCTGTGGTCGGGCCCAGCCTCTGTGCCGCTGGGGGTGCAGCTGGGGGTGCCGCCTACGCTCCGAACCCGCCCCACCGCTGACACCGGCCTGGGCAGGACGGGAGCCCCCGGCCGCCCCGCGGGCCCAGCAGCTCCGCCCGATGCCACGACTGCTGCAGTTCTCCTAAGTGAGAGGGGCAGGGCCGGTCCCCTGGGCTCGGCGTGCCTTCGGGTTTTGTTTCTTGATCACGGGGTGCAGCTCCCCCCACCCCCAGTTGTTTGTATGTTTGTTTGCTGTGTGGCTAACGTGGTAAGAGAAGAGAAAAACCTGAATCAGCAGGGCCCGTTTCTGTCCACATGAGTCTCCAGCTGGTTCCTATTCTGGGATCGTGCCTGTCAGCAGAACCAGTTCTGATGGTTCCTTCCGCAGGCTAAGGGAGTGGTATTTTTTTCCACTAAAAAAAAAATCTCAAACAGAAGTCCCCACCCCCCAACCCCAGGACATCCAGAGTCCATATGCACACAGTCCAGGGTGGTCACCGGGTGTGTCCCCGGCAGCTCGGTCACATTTTGATTCCTGGTGAAGGGCACATACCTGGGTTACAGGTTTGACCCCTGGCCCTGGTCAGGGTGCATGCAGGAGGCAGCCAATTAATGCGTCTCTCTCACATCAATGTTTCTCTCTCTCTCCCCGCCCTTCCACTCTCTCTAAAAGCAATGGAAAAAATATCCTTGGGGAGGGATAAAAAAAAAAGAAATAATATTCTAAGTAATAATATAGTCTAAGAAATAATATTCTAACTTTTAATTTTCTATGCAATTCAATTATTAATATTTTATATATAACATATGTATGTGCATTTATGCTTTTATTTGTAATTAAAATTATTTTAATTAATATTAGGCTCACAAAATAATTACAAATGATTAATATTTTTTCATTACCTAGACTATCATAAAGGAGCAGAAATTATCTGCTATCCAAAGGAAGCAATTACTTTATCATTCAAGTTTGGGAAGTTTTAAAATAATTATTTAATTATTATTCTTTTTTCATGATTATTTCTCAATTGGATATATCATATCTTGCTAGAAGATCACTGATTGTATATCTTCTTTACCAATTCTATTTTTTATGTTTTATTTATGTTGTAGCTCTTCATACATTTTTATCTGTATTATTGATCTGTTCCAAGAATCAGGTTTAGCTTTATTCCTCTTCAGTACTACATTTAATTTTTTTTTTTTTTTTACATTTCACTAATTTTTCAATTAGAAATTCCCTAATTCTATTATTNGCCGCCCACAGGCCAGGAAACGGACTCACAGACACAGAACCTGCGGCACCGTGAGCTCGGCCTTCCCGCCTCCAGAGCTGTGAGATAACAAATCCCCGCCGTTGGAAGCTGCTACGTGCGTGCCCATTTGTTACAGCGGCAACGGGAAGCTCATACGCGGGGCATTCCGGCCGGAGCTGAGCCACGTTCCCTCAAGCCCACCGGCTGGGTCTCCACAGCACAGGGGCGATCCCCCCGGGGAGGGGTCCCCAGGGTCAGCTGCATCGGGTGACACAAGTACCACCCAGGGCTTTGGGGTCAGGATGCGTCCCATTGAACTCGCCAGCACGTGGCTGGTGCAGACACAGGGCCCTGTACCTACCAGCACAGTCCCGTGGCCAGAAAGCAGTCGTTTCCCCTTAAGCTGCAGTTTCAATCCATTTCACATTAGCCTTTACGAGAAAACATTCCCACCCTCCATCCCTCTGGTTTTCCACGCATGTGGCAAGGCTTTGGTCCAGGAAACGAAAAATAAAAGAATCACACTATTTCAGAACGCAAGAGAAATTAAGTCCAAATTTTCGCGGAATGTTAAAAGTTAAACACAACTCAAAACATGCTCGGGGTTCAGACTGGATTTCGAAACGCTCTCTGAGAAGGGAACCCCCACAGCAAAAGCCGATGACTCCTCTTTAGAAGATTCTCCCCGACTGTCGGGAAGGGGCCCGAATCGAATGGTCAGCAGCGGCACACGGGAAGAGTGTTCCCAGTTTTCGGGGGAAGGTAAAAATATTGTTTTAAATCCAGGGTTGCTTCTTGATTCTCAGTAATCCCGGGGCGAGGCAGACACCACTGGGATAAAATTAACATCGGGGAAAACCATGCGGACTGTGGAACCGAAGTGTTTTGAAACAGGCCACAAGGTAGCCAGTGGGGAGAGATGGTGCCGCTTGGTTTCAAAGCGCAAAGAGAACGGACCGGTTTCACGCGGAGGCCTTTGGGGGGACACGGGGTCTGGGGTGCAGGCGAACGGGGCCCAGAAGCACCCGGAGGCGGAGCGGTCTGGGCTTGAACCTGACCCAGGGGCCACGGGAGTGTCGCTGAAGGATCTAAATCAGGAAAATGGCACGAACCGGTCTGTACACTGAAAACACGTCTCGGAGGAACAAATAGCATGAAAACAGCGGGTTTTATGTGCACGGGGATCTAGCTCTTATAAAAGTTTAACGTCCTATAAACGCGGCATTACAAATCGGCGCGGTAAGGAGGGATTAGTCGTTGACGCCGGGACGGTCGGTCCGTTTTCCGGAAGAAAAACGAAGTTGGCCTCTCGACTTCATAAACCGAAATAAAACCCAGATGGGTTAAAGAAGTCAGCGCAGAAGAGAGCTCTGGGGCGAGCGGGAACGCACAGAAGTAAATGAAGACGTACCTGGCTTCCGGGCGGGACAAAGCTGTGCAGGTTCTGAACGAGGAAGGACACCTGAGAGGCCGCCGGATGCGACTCTCACAGCCAAACCTCTGAAAGCCAGTTAATGCCCCAAACAAAACGTAAGGGACAATGTAACTGAGGGAGGATATTTGCGACGCTGAAGATGGACCAACATGCGCGTCCTTCCTATGTAAAGAGTCCTTAAAAACAAACAGGGGGAAAAACAGCAATCACTCTAACAGAACAAAAGACATTTGTATCAGAAGGGGAGGCGTTTGTCTAATAAACGTACAAAAACATTCACCTGTGTAGCGAAAGCTGCGTGACCCTACGTACAAACAGGACACTGTTTTTTAAAAGCTTATCAAACGTAGGAAGCGTTTTGTTTTCTTTTCATTAAAAAAGAAAACGTGTTGTGGAGGGTGCAGGAAAATGGGCACCTATGCCGGTGGGCTGCAAATTCTCTCTACGAGAAAACTGGGTGACAGCAGAAACCCTGAAAATGTTCTCGCCCTTTGGTCCAGTGATTCCACTTAGAGAAAGCCGTTCTCAGGAAATAATCACGGACGTAATTACATGTTCGCGCGGGTGAATTATTCTGCAGAATATTTGTGTTAAAGGCGCCCGTGCCCTTGACCGGGAATCGAACTCACGACCCTTCGGTGCTCGGGCCTATGGTATAACCGCGGAGCCACACCGGCCAGGGTTAGACACCCTTTTTTTAATGTCAAATCATAAGTCAAGACTGTTTTATAAAGACAGGGACCTCCCGAAGCCAGAGGCCGTGGCCCCGAGGGGTTAGGTTTTTATGAAGTAGACATAATTTGATTTAGGGATGAAAGTTCCGCTACTCTGGTGAATCCTTTCCAATTTTAAACAATTGCCTAAACGTGTTCAATGAAATTTAACTTAGCTGAGTCACTGTCGGAGAAAACCGCAGCAAGACTTCTGGAAGTCAGAAAAAAAAGGTCCCAGGACACTGAGTTCTGCCCGAGGATCTCGCCCGCCAGCCCACTGTCGCCTCTAGAATGGAACCGTGTCCACAGTGGCGATAGTGATGCTGATAATCATCATAACACTGCACGTTAGCGCATCTGAGTCCCCCACAGCCTCAGGCGCAGGAACCTTATTTTTCCTCAATGGCACCAATGAGGGAAATGAGAGCCCAGGGAGGGTGAGCGATTTTCCTGACGTCACACAGCTCGTCTCCGAGGCACAGTTGAGTCAGAACCTAGGTCTTCTAACCCCCAGTCCTGCAATATTTTCCCCCAAATTGGAAAGCCAGCGAAAAACAAAGATGAACCAGGGAGCGAGGAGGGAGAAATGGATTCCCTGGGAGTATTGTGGGTTTCACATCAGGAGGGCTCACTGTTTCTTTCTGAGGCTTTTCCATCCTGGGGATGTTTTTGGTTTGGTTGTTTTTCTCCTGGTTTTAGCATGAACAGCCCCGTTCAGATACACCCAGACCTGGCTCCTGGGAGCCCTGACCACCCTCCCCCTCAGTTCTGCCCTTTTCCCAGCTGCAGCCTGGGCCCAGGGCGCATTTTTGGGAATCCAGCCGGCCCGGGCGCTGTTATCCTCCCATCGCCGGGCGCGTTCCCTGGAAGTCCCGCCAAACCTCGGCGGGCCCACCGGCTGGAAGGGGCGCTGGGGGGGAGCAGCGGAGCACATTCCATCCTCAGGGGGCCCCGCTGCCGAGATGGCAGGGACAGGATGACCGAGGGCGGCTGCCTTTTTTTTTTTTTTT